AAGTTATAATTAAAGTAAAATTACATTTCAGTGAAGATGTGGCGTTTTTATAAAGTTACTGGAAGCTTTAGCTTCTGTTCTGTGTAAAAACATTGATGAATTGTAAATAGTTCATTTTATGCAAATGGAAGCATTTATCTTTAGTTGCATCGAGCTATACACTCATGCGTCAAGGTTGAGATTCCTGCTTCCATCCCGGTACAGTGGAGGTAATTTGTAACAAAAACACCTTTTTCAAGATTTCCTTTTTTCATTTGCTGAATTTAATTTAACTTATTTTATTCAATTGGAGGCAAATAAGAAAAAAAGTGGTTTGATTGAAACACATTCTATTATATAGAATTGAATATTATAAATAGATAGATTTAGAAATGACTGCCAACTTTTTGACACCCAAACACCAAAAAGTGTCTTAAACCATGAAAGCTGTATCCAAAATGAATGTATTGTTACACCCCTAATATGTAACATGCATTCAGAAGACACACACTCAAAAGCAAAGTGTGTTCGTAATGTTCCATCATGATCCTCAGATAATTTCACTCACTCTCTTGCATTCACATCGTATTATCGTTAACCACCAGCTTTAGCACCAACAGACAGTTGACCTGAAGACGTTAAACGCATCCAAACCAGGCGGAAGTCGCTGCAGCTGCTGCTTGCCGGTTTGATGCCGCCGGTGTCCTGCGTTTCCATGTCAACGTGCTCAAACACAAACTGAACAGTGGAATGAACGACACCGAGACGCTGCCGGCGTTATGGAGTGAGACATAAAATGAGGAAAGTTTAACAAAACAAAAGTAAGGTATGATTTGAGTGGCATGTAGCCTTGGATGACAGCAGACTAAAAGCTTTCTCCTAAACCTCCCTCCTGCCTCCTGCTGTTCACGATAAACAAATGAGACCTCTTGATTGATTGCTTTGAAAACCGAGGCTGCCATACAATCTTTTTTTTCTACAACTCCAAACTGGAAGTTCGGTCAGAGAATGGGAAAGGCCACAGAAGTCATGTCTTGACTCACTTCTCTCCACGTAACAGAGAAAAGAAATGCTACGCTGGCACTCACTCGCACAAAGCTCTCTTCTCTTTCTGTTCTCATTTGGTGCCGACACTTGTTCCACTCCAACCTCGGTCTAAAATACAAAGCCTGCAGGTCAGCCACGTCTCAAGCACCTCTATCCATCCCAACCCCTCCACCTTTTTTTTTTTTTTTTTCCAATTTCCCTCCCAGCCCCTCTCACTGCTCCCCAGTGCAGTATCCATCTTTATCAGGCCAAAGCAGGGGCTGCGTCGGCCTGTCTGCAGGGCTCACCAGAGAGATGTCGGTCAGCAGCGTGTTCAGACTCTCCGGAGGATCCTCCTCATTACTCTCCACCACGCTGTCGTTCTGAGAGATGCAGGAAAAGAAGAGGAGGAAGAGGTGAAAGAGAGGAAAGACAGAAAAACAAGAAGGGGCTCGGTGATTAAAGTGGGAGAGCAGATGTTAAACACAGATGTGTGTTTATCCCAAAACAAATGCCAAATTAGATTTGCTGGATGTTCAGCGTCTCCGACACGAAAAGGGGAAAAGACGTCACTTCTGCTCTGATTTATTTATTTATCTTGCCGGTCTCAGAGAGCATAATGACGGCGAGTGAAAGAAGACACTGACACACACACACACACACACACAGTCACGGCTATAATGTCTCCTTTCACAAGCAAAACACACACATGCTGTGAAATCGATAAAGAACCATCAGCTCAGTTCAAAGCAGGATTTGCAGGCTCAGTCCCAGTGGCACGCTGGAGAGGAGGTAATTTGCAGCAGATCTGAGAGCGATTTCAGAGCAGAGGAACTGAGTTCAGAGAAACGCTGCCCTTCATTTAACTCTGCCACTAAACCAAAACAAAAGCCCCATCAATTCAGCTTAATTACCCCTCGCTGCCGCATGTGGAGCACTTACAGCCTATTTATTTATCACCAGAGTCAATCGACGCTCCGCATATACAGTAATGCCGCCGAGCACGATGAGCAGTCGGAGCACGTTGTGTTTGTATGTACAGTATGAACGACTGTATTCGCCCACAGTTGTAATCCACAACACCAATGTAGGAGACAGCTGGAAGAGTAATGGTTTATTATTGTGGAGGACAACTGATTCTGTAATCGTAACACCAAGCATGTTGAGGGTTTTTTTGTGTGGCAATATGGTCCTTGATGCTTCAAATGCCACCGCTGTTGACATTCCTGATGGTGGAGGTCTGTCGCTGCCTGCAGCTGTTTCACCCGCTGACAGACTGCGAGCCAGAGACCAGTTCTACGTGTAGCCCGACATGCCTCTCATGCTTAATGCTGCGCTCGCACTGCAGGAGCTTTAAAACAGAATTTCAAATCAGTTTGCATCACGCACATAACGAGACGCTTCACAGATATTTCTCTTCTATCCGATCTCAAATCTTGCGCACACAGCGAGATTTGAAAACAACGGCACATCACAGACTGCAGGATATCGTGAAGATCATCGTACCATCAGGGAGCAGAGCATCTCCTCGTGTGATCTCATGGGGAAACAGATGTAAACAAAATGGAGACTGTGGTGCAACAACTTGCTGTAAGTGACGATACTTTAAAGAAGAAAACAATAGCAGAAGACTGGATTAATCTGGTAAGGAAACAGTTGGCGAGATGCAGTCAACGTGAGTTGCTTATCCTTCAGTAAGAACTGTACTTGAGATTTTAACTGTCAGTTTTAAAATCTGTGGCTAACGTTAGCCTCAAGAGCGAGAATATCACTCTGTACGGTCGTGTGATAATCATAACCATCCAGATTTTTACTCCCTGATGAGTCTAGGAGCGAAGGTTTTAGATTAGAAACCGCTGAACATCGGTTCAGTCCAGCATCCCAGACCTACGATTGTTTAGATGGGTTAAATCGAACCCAAACTTCTGTAATCTGAGCCCAGCACAAGTCACAACAGGAACTGAAGGCCCCATGATTGCCTAAACAGACATAGTGGACATCTTTAAAGGTAAATGTTGTGTAGTTGGCTCAGCTACACCAAACACACTGAGATAAGATCCACTTGCAGCTCTGATTAATTTCTGTGATAAGCAGAAGTCACTGCTGGAACACATGGGACGTTAAATTGCAACCAGACGAGAAAAACCTGTGATTAAAAAGACTATTTGAAGGTGTTAGTGATACCCACAGAGCTTGCAGCGTTTGGCCTGTGTTTAGAGCTAAAACAGCCCTGGTGAAAATCTGCTTTTATTGTGTTTTCTATGCCTTAAACTTGAAGATGTAAAATAAAAGATGAAAGAATATTAATTAGACAATTACTACTGCCACTTCATGATCCGTTCTTCCTCTCAATGACCTCCCAAGTAGAATTTCACAGTAGAGTTGTGTTCAATTAGTAAGTAGGAACTAAGCAACCAGCAGTCCTCCAGATTTAAATCTATATAATCTGCCTCCAATGCTAATTTCAGGTGATTCAATCAGAATGATCAGCTGCCTCACAGTCCACCATATTTACTATCTTCCTTCACCTTCTTCTGCTAACTATGAAAGTTCTGAGCTACTATCAAAGCTCACCAAATGTTCTGCTGTTGGCTGCGAGAGTGAACACAACAGTCTTCATGCACTCCCAGAACCTGAGGAACTAAAGGCCCAATGGATGACTTCTATTATTTATGACAATTTTGCCACAACAAAAGGAAAATCCTTTGTGTTAGTGCTCTCTGTAGCTATGAATGATGAAGTTGCCTTTAGCTTTGATATCGTGCTCACCGGTCAGCGCTCTGTGGAGGGTTGGAAACTATAAGACCGATTTCAAACTGATGACTAAGGACTGGGTGAGTAACCATATGAACCATCAGTGAAATCTAAACTTGCATCTCTCCTGCTCTTTGTGCTCAAATACACTGCACTTGATTGAAGCTGAATTTCCAATAACGCTCTTTTTATTTACACATTTTCTGTTATTGCTATCAGACAATGAAACAAGTGTGAACTAACGACTGAAACACATTCAGACCACATGACACCCAGCAGTCACTTCCAATCTGCTGCTCTGTACCTCTAAACTACTGGTTTTATAACCACACTGTCATCTGACAAACTCCCCAAACACAATAGTCAAAATCAGCATCATTAATAATCAATTTGCTGAAAAGAGACACACTGTGGGACCTTTAAGAAACACATCCGAGGCTGCACTGGTGAGCTGTTCGATGATAAATGTCCACGGGGGTGTTTTTACATGGGAGGGAACACGTTTCTTCCCAACATTGGACGCTTGATGGGCGAATAATCCAGACAGATGTTTGACAGCCGTTTCTCAGCAGGAATCAACACAGGATTCACCCCCTACAGCCAAACAAACACTGACAGCATCTACTGTTTGCTCCCGGATTTCGAACCGGACCAACTTTCTCTTTTATCACGAAAGCAGGTGAGCAAAAACGTGTTTCTGAAAACATTTGAGGGGAGAAATAAGCTGCTGAATCTGATTTTAGATTAACAACCATTTAGTTTAAATGCGTTTAAGAAAGTTTCTGGAGGCATCGGACCCCTGCTCGATGTTTCCTATTTGCATAGTTTAGCCGAGGCCTCAACTTTATGCAAATAAGACGTCTCTTGAAACGCAACTCGACGTTACCAGAGTGGTGTATGCAGGTTGTTTCACGTAGATTGGGAGGCGTTGAAGTGCCATAACGAAGAAGCAGGTTTAGGTTACAGTCAGGTGAAGAGTTGTGGTTGGATCGTTACCTGTTATGGTTAGGGTGAAGGTGCTAGGAATCAGTGAACGTCCTCACAAAGGTAGCCACATAAACATATATTTGTGTTTATATGTGTGTGTGGATGCATTGGTATTCACCTGACTATATACCTGGATTTGAGTGCAGCTCTGAAATCCAGTGTTTTTTATCCTCCCCTAAACCACCCAGCTCTCTAATCTGCTTTACACAGCAGCGGTAGCAGCCACCCGTGGGTCCAAAACAGCACAAACAGACACACAAGGACGCGCAGGAAGAATACCGACCGCCGCACACACACAGCCCTCGCTCGCACATGTAAATGTCGCTTCTCGGGAGGCGAAAGTAGAAAGGCAGCGAAAACCCATCTGAAGCATCTGAATGAGAGGGACTGTTTGGTGGATAAATCTGCAGACGGTCAACAGCTTATCTCTGCTGTCAGCTTAGACACTGTGTTTACTGTATATGTTAATCACTCATCGTCGTCCAACCAAACGGCTACGTAAAGCGAGCAATAAGCTGTAATTAAAAACACAAACAAAACACAGACTGAACGGCTCATCGGAAATAAATCAAAATACAAAAAGTGAGCATCTTTCATGCTCCGCGACAGAGTTAAGTTAATACGCTTTGCTCGATTGAAGCGGCCCTGAACTGCCAGGCAGGAACAATGGTTTCCCCCGTGGAGCGGCTGCACTATGTTATAGAATATATTAAGCTCATTAGGTTACTGTCACGAAAGCGTCTGTTAAATGAATGTAATGTAATGAGCGCTGTCACTGCTGTCTTGGGGTAATAACATTAAAGTGAAAAATGGGGGGATGTATTATTTACCGAAAAACGCAGCTCCTCAGAAGGAAAAAAAGAAAAACCCAGGTGTTTCTCTGTTGACGTCTTGTAGCACGGATTTCATCGACACAAACACAGCCGGATTCTCAGACAAGGGTAACGATAAAAGCCCGACTCGCCACAACCTGGACTGTTTGGACTCCGTCTTTAAAAGCACTACAGTTTCTTGTCCAAATCAAGGTAAAGGAAGAAAATACCAAGAAAGAAGAAAAGCACTCCAAACAAATTCACTGCAAAAAAAACCCCCAGAAAACCAAGGTGAAAGACGTGTGCTGCTGGTTGCCATCGACCAGCGGGGAGCTTTACATCTCTTTGCTCTGTTGTGTATTCTGTAAGTGTGGGTTTGTGATGGAACGCATTCATCACCTTCGGCAGTAATTCCTACCTCCATCATATCTATCAGCCAGAGCAGCCTCTCCTACAGAAGAGGAGGGGAGAAGGTGTGTTTTTTTAGGGGTGAGGAGGGTTATTGAGGTGGAAGGGGAAAAAAAAAAACACACAACCTATCAAATATCGGCTGAAAGACTTTTCAATCTCAGCAGGGAGGCAGTGAAACGTGTCATTGTGCAGCCCAGCAAAGTCCACATCCAAACTGGATCTTTATTTTTAGAGGAGAATCTGTTATAATCTATGGAAATACATCACACCGTCCTGTCTGCCTCTTTTACTTTCTGTCACACAGTCTACAGGAAAAGCCGAAAAACAGACAGACACCAGAGAAATATCATATTATTTGCAGGCCGAACTGCAATTTTGCCTTCAAACATCGAAGAAAATCCTCAAATAACAGCAGCAGGTGTAAAATACATTTCAGACAAGTACATAGGGAAATATTTTCACCCACAAATGTGATATTTTTTTAAGGTTTAAGCGCACACACTGTTCAAACAGAGCCAGATAATGACTCTGCTGCCGAGGCCGACCTACCCGCGCAGAGCTGAGGGTGGTGTTGGTCATGAAGCTGGCCGAGGACGAGGTCAGGGTGTCCGGATACGACACCATGGACAGGGAGTCCGGCTGCAGGGCCGTGGCTCCGGCCGTCCCCTGGCGAGCCTTCAGAGCCTGAATCTCACGTCGAAGCACCAGACCGTCGAATCGCTCCAGATCCTGGGCGGTGACCAGACCTCGAACCTCCGACAGCAGAGAGAACTGTAGGAGGGAGGTGCAGAAAAGGAGAAAAAAGAGGAAATTGAAGGTATGAATCACAGCTTATCTTTTGCTCTACATCTTGAAGCTACTACTTTGATAACCTGAGTTGTTTCTGATAACCAGAGTGTTCCGTCTGAAAACTCATTTTTATGCCCAGGCCTTGGACCCGGCATCAGACTCCTGTTTTATTATACTTTTATTGTATTTTGCATTTTAAAAATTGTTTTGAATTTTGTAGTCAGCACTTTGTTTAGACTTTTGTTGGGTTAAAAAAAAAGAAAGTTGAGGTGAGTTGAGGGCTGCAAGGTGGCGCAGTTGGTAGCACTGTTGTCTCGCAGCAAGAAGGTCGCCGGTTCGCGTCCCGGTGGGGGCACCGGAATCTTTCTGTGTGGAGTTTGCATGTTCTCCCCGTGCAGCGTGGGTTCTCTCCGGGTTCTCCGGCTTCCTCCCACAAGGTCCAAAAACATGTGTGGTGGTGACCTGTCCAGGTGTCCTCTGCCTTCGCCCTAAGTCGGCTGGGATAGACTCCAGCCCCCCCGCGACCCTCGTGAGGATTAAGCGGTGTATAGATAATGGATGGATGGAGTTGAGTTGAGTTCTGCAGGTTCTAAATATGTTTTGCTTGTGGCTACAGAACCACTGAGCAGAACGATGTGTGAGCAGAGTTTGCAATTACAAATCTGCTGCACAGTTTCTCTGAGCTCACTTCAATCTGAGTTTATGATGCATGTGTACATGAATTTAAATCCAACCGTGGTCTGATATGCAACTTATGCAGGTGTGACATGAAAACTTTCACGTGTGCACTAAAGATGGACTTTGCAGCGTCTCTTGTCAAGCAGTTAAACTTTATCGCCAAATGTACGCAACATCTGGCGACACGTTCCAGATGTGCTCGGTTGAATCTTCAATGTTTCAGACGTGCTGTTTGTTTGTCAGTAATGTAGTTTACAGTCACAGATTGGATGTGATAATAGATGTTTGGTACATAAATAAGAAACCCACCTGTTAATTCTAACTTAAATCCACTTTAAATGTAAATCTACAGTACAGGAGAAGTGTGTAAACTCTTTAAAACACCTGTTTTTCTAAATTAATTGGACGAAAACAATGAAAGTACAAACTTTATCTAATTCTCAGATACAAACAAGCTCGATGCCGTTATAATCTTTAGCATCTTTATTGAACGCACTCATTAAACATTCACAGCGTTTGCAGAAAAAGTAAGCGAATCCTTGGATTTAATAACTGGTCGAACCTCCTTTGTCAGCAGTAACGTGGAACAAACGTTTCTTCAGACATTCAGGAGGAACTTTAAACCATTCATCTGTACAGAACCGCTACAGCTCAGCCCTGTTCTTGGTGCAAAGATTTAGATTTAGATTTGGGAATCGGGGGCGGCCGGTTCCTCCTCGGTGTCCTGCCACTGACGCCTTAAAGTTCAGTGATTTGCATATAGTAGGGAGACGTTAACCAGCTCAATAATTCCTTTAAGCCTTTATCTGTTACCTGCATTGACTGTATATCAAGATAAATGAACCCTCCGAGATGTGACCCACAGGTTTTTGCTGATCAGTGGTTTTGAAGCTCCAGCACCTACATTCTCCAAAGTCCCAGTTAATCCAAAAATGAGCAAAGTGGTGGAGTATAAGTGGAGCTGAGGCATCAAAGACACACATCTCTGGGTCATAAACGGTCCTGTGATGGCACCTGCCTGCCACACAAGCTGTCCATGCTGGTAATTATGCATTATTTTAAGCCTTAGCGCAACTTAAATGGGTGGGTTGTGTAAAAAAATCACCACCTGTATGGTTGTCATAAAGGGAAACTTCGCTAACAAGACCAAAACAGTTTGTATACCAGGCTGTAAACATGTTTATTTCTGCAGGAAAGTCCGACATTTTAACATGGGAGTCGATGTGGATTGACTCATTTTTAAAATAAGCCTCTCGTGGTGATTTGAGGAACTGCAGCTTGGTTATTTTGGGGTTTTCTATGATGATGATTCTGTGTTGTGTTGTTGGACTTATCTCAACTAGATGCCAACTCTCTGGAAGAGGAACCACAGAACTAACACATCCCAATTGATAGACAGATTGTGCAACTGTAGATGGATGAATATCTGTGTGCAGTATTAATGTTTTTCTATCAGTATTTCTACTCATATAAGAATCTGTGCAATACCACTGATATGTGCAATATTGTTATTTCCACATCCAGAGGAATTTGGGCAATCTGAATATCCACATATATAAGAACTAGTACCGATGCAGGTATATTTTGCAGTTTATTTAGATTTTTCTGCTGATATTTCCTACACGTTTGTCCCTTTTGCTGCTTTAACAATGCAAATCTCTCCACTGTGGGACTAAAGAAGGCTAATCGTATCTGAACTCTTTCAACTGACTCTTTACCCTTTTCAGCTTTATGCAAATCACTTTCGATGCTCAGTCTTCTGAGATGTGTCGAGTTTGTTAAATAAGTCAGAGTAGCTCCAACCTCCACCTTTTGTTGTTTCAGTAAGTGGACTGCAGGTTTGCTCATTCTTAAGTCCAGACAGCCTTTTCTCGTGTCATTAGCCCGGGGACACTGTGAGTATTTGAATAATATGTAGCCAGTGTAGCCTAAAGCAACATGATGATTTGTGTATTGCTTGTTCCAAGAGATTGTGTTTCGTCATAACTGTAAGTTAGATAAAGATATTCTACACAACTTCAGAAGGTTTGTGTGTGTTTTCTTACACCTGTTGCTGTAATTAACCAGTAATTGTGTTTATTTTGTCTGTTGATGTCATGATTGAAAAAACAAACCACAACCTGTAAATAGCTGAGTTTGACTAAATATAAAACTGCATATGCCAACAATGTCATTTTGACCAGTTTCAGTCATAATGTCACAATCTTCATTCCAGATATGTACAACATCATCTTAAATACTGTGTATGATGCTGCTCATGCAAGGTTTTCTATTGGATATCAGCCCAACAAAGCATTTGAACAGTATTAGAAGAAGTACTGGTGGAAGCTGTGGTGAAGAAAACACTGTAAAATAGGAAGACGTCATCCGCAAAGCGTGTGTGGAGGAAGAGAAGTCTGTTCATCATGGATTTGTGGTTGAAATTTACTAGAACTTTGCCTTTAAGCAGCTCCAACATGGCGGTAAAATGGCAGCCATATGCACATATGTTGGCAATGCTTTCATTCGTAAAAAAAACCAAGCAGACCTGCCATAGGTTCTAATGCAACTACAGACATCTGCAAGTCAAAAAGCATCATCAGTCATTCTGACGAGTTCAAACTTATCTGCAGCTGAATTGCAGATATCTGTGGAGAGAACCTCCATACACATGAAGGGTAAACGTGACGTCGTTTGCCCTAGAAGGAATGCTCTGAAATACATATCCAGTCCAGCTACTAAAGGTTAAAACTTCTTGCTGCAGCAGCTGAGCAGCTTGGTAATGACTGCTGGTCAACATCGTATTCATGAGCTGCCACCAAACAGCAAACTGGGTTTGTTGTCTGATGCTGGCAACGGAAAAATAAGTAAATACGACCAAACTGCACTGTGCGTATTGTAAATATGGCTGTGTAAGTCATTACAGAGAGCTGCGGAAGACAAAACAGAAGTTAAACAGGCCGTCTCCTTCCCTTTCACCCCTTTATTTTCTGCTTCGTTCTCACTAACTACAAACACAATAAAAAACAGATTTGCCGTGTTTGTGTGCAGACAAAGTCAAAAACAAATGAAACGCGTCATTAGTTGCCAACTTTAGGTTAATTGCCAATAAGTAAAGGCGTTTGAATGTAACCACGAGTGAATATTAGCACCTCAGAGCTGCATGAGGAGAGCGGATTGGAGAAAAGAGCTGTGAATGAGTCGATATCTATTCTGTCCTGTATGTATGAAGCCAGAGCACACCGTGGCTGGGTTCTGTGTATAATTTCTATTAAAACTAATTGCTGCTGAGGGGATTTCTACGTAGGTAATTGGGCTCAGACATAAAGCGATATTCCAGGCCAAGTGCTTTTATGCGTCTTAACACGGGTCTTTAAGAGGCCTTTAAATGTCAGTTTGGTCCTCTTGAAAACTACATTAAAACACGGGAGATTGATCCCAACTTTTAAACTTGTCAAACTTGTAAAACTGATCATTTCTGAGGTCACTGAACTTTAAAAATGGCCGGATTTGTGACGGGTGATGAAAAAGAGGAGTTTTCTCTGGAGAAAAACAGTCCCTCAAGATGATTCTGGATTATATTTTAGTTTTTATGTTTTTCTTTTGCCAGCTCATGTGAACATCAAATTGTGGTGATATACGTCTCAATCTAGTTTTATAATTTCCAACAATATTTAGCTAAAACATGATCAAACCCTCATTTAGATTTAGATTAATTTCTGCTTCACTTTTGTAAAATCCAAATAAATTGAACAAAAACAACCCACGTATTAAAGGAGCTCTACAGTATCTCCAAATTCTGTACAAGGCAGCGGGAAAAGCTTTCTGCGGGCTTATAAAACAGCGGCGTATTTGAGAAATTGAAAATAAAATGCTTTTGATTTATTGTGTTTTCTTATAAGGTGAACTCGCCGCCGACTGTGAGAAAATCCAGAGACTCTTAAGAGGCGGGGAGGAAGGAAAAACAAAACAGAGCTGTGAGCGTCGGCAAAAAGCCTTGGCATAAATCTCAGAAGGGCTCATAAAACTTCGATTCAAACCTCACAGCAATCGCACACAGACGCTGCGCGGATTCCTACAGAACGAAAACTGATTATCTTCTGATCTTGTTCTTTTGCTTTCCCAGACAGACGCCTGGTCCTCACCTTGGCGTGGGTGTTCAGCAGCTCGAACAGCGCCATGACCAGCTGGTCCACGCCGATGTGCCCGTCCCGGTACTCCTCCACGTAGTAGCCCATGGTCTGACGCTCGGCCTCGGTCAGCAGGTGGCGCGCCTGCTCCTCCAGCATGGCTCTGGACTGGTTCACCAGACTGGACAGGGTCACCTGGGAGCCCGCCACGCCTTTATAAAACCCCGGCTGGAGGAGATGGAAGAAAGAAAGGAGAAAAAAAAGACAGAAAAGTTAAATATATTTTTTGTTTCTCATGTTTGTGTGGAGTGAGGAAGAAAGCTG